TCGGCATTCTTCAAATATCCAAAAAATGCCCATACTTCCGACTTTGTCTTCTTTGAGGGATAATAAATGTCCCGAGTGCTGTCGTCTCCCCTGGCCATTATTTCAGCTTTAGCACAAAGTGCGCATGTGCCGTCGGCTACTTCAGCAGATGATACGGTGGCTGGTAAGGGTCACCGCGCCTACACCGCAGCCACGGTAATCCACAGAGATAATTTTTTTTTAAACAAGACGGTTATTATTATTGTGTACTTTTTTACCGGGGTTTACCGCTACACCATTTACCGTGACAACCCTAGCCCTGACACACTTTCAGATATTCTCATGGTGCAGCTGTGATCTCCAGAGATCAAGGACTATGACCCAAATGAGGCTGTAATGCTTTGGCACAAAGACGGTGTCAGAAGCAGGAGGCCAGACTTCATGGACAGAGAAAAGGAGTCTGACTAGATTTCAATGAAAGAGTTCATAAAAACATCTCTAAAAATATATAAATAAATAATAAAAATGACAAAAGAGTTGTTTTTCTTATTAATTGATGTTTTAATTATTTTGTCACTCTGTTTGGAATCAACATAATATAGAATAACATGCTTTAGGTAGATCTAAATCATTTAGAATTTTGGCCGGTAAAAATATGCTTGGCCGGTAGATTTTCATCATCTACCAGCCAACTCGGCCGGTGAGTAAAAAATTCAATTTCGGACCCTGGACACATTGCTAGGTGTGTGTGTGTGTGTGTGTGTGTGTGTGTGTGTGTGTGTGTGTGTGTGTGTGTGTGTGTGTGTGTGTGTGTGTGTGTGTGTGTGTGTGTGTGTGTGTGTCTGTGTGTCTGTGTGTGTGTCTGTGTGTCTGCTCTGTCTTCTCGATCCCCAGTGAGTCGTGGAGGATGGCTGCTTATACTGAGCCAGGATCCTCTGGAGGTTTCTTCCTGTTAAAAGGGAGTTTTCCTCTTCACTGTCGCTATATACTTGCTTAGTATGAGGAGGACTGCTGTAAAGTCGCTAACTCTAGTCAGTGACTTGATGCAATTTGCTGGGTTCCTTATGTAGGAAACGTTTTTTCTGATTGGCTTAATAAACTGACTTGAATTGGAATGTTTATTATGTGAAGTGCCTTGAGACGACTCTTGTCGTGATTTGGCGCTATATAAATAAAATTGAATTGAATTGAATGCCCAGATATTTGGAGACACTGACATCTGTGCATTCATCAAGCAAAAGGCTATATTTGTTACTGCCAATGTCAGCCACCACCCGCTGTATGAAATATGGAGCCAAAACACCATTTATCATCTCGGTGCATTTGGTACAGTGCATCCGAAAATTTTGGGCAATACTAGAATCAGGGAAAGCTGCTTTGCATGCTAAACCGATGTGGTCACATGACAAAATTGAGCAGTGATCACTGATAGCCAAAGCAATTGTGGCCTCTGCCTGATTCAGTGTGTCCTTTTTATGGCAACAAATGTCAGTTTGGGTTGGCATGCCTGATTGTAAGGCTTAGCCTTCTCGATGTGCTTCTGCGTAGCTGCATGCTTTTTAATGTCTGACAACTTTGCATTGAAGTCTGTTTTGCAGTGCATGCAGGTAGCTCTAATGTCGCTACCTGCATATGGTTTCAGCCAACCTTTAAATTCAGGTAGTGACTCCCATTCTTTGTGGGACTTTTGGAAATAGGATTTTGGTTGTGTCATTGTTGTAATGTATTTACTTTGCCAGTTTGTCTAATAAAATGTTAAATGTCTGTTTTTTATTGAAATCTGTGTCACTATGATGAAGGGAAAACAAGCAGGTGGGACAGGAAGAAGTAAAAACATTTTTTTTTAAATTTTGAGTAGGGGAAAATGTGAGGTGAACTGAGAAATTAAGAAAAATTAATAAATGATAAGCAATAAAAAAGGCTGGGGACACTTTAGAAAGAGGAAGGAGAAATAAGTGTTTAAAAGATGAAAAAAATGTATAACGGAAATAAAGAAATGATTGCTTTCTAAGCAAAAGTAAACAGTGTAAAGTAGCCTTTAAAAAGGCTGTTTAACGTATGTTCGATTCTCTATATGATTGAAACAAAGTCTAAAAATAGGTGGATACCTGTTGGTGGGTGGCCAGTGTGTGACTAACGAAAGGAAAAGATTGGTCTTAAATACTTGAATATTTCTTTTATACAATTAAACTTATTTTCTCTGTAAAACAAATTCATTAGTTTGAGGGTGAAAACCCACAAAAGGTTTGATTGGTCAATGGGGGTAGCATTATCATGCTGCATGCACATGCGCAGATCATTTTCTTTCTGATCCTCTGGAAGGAAGGACGGTCCTGTCGCTTCAGATGCATCTCTAATCTGCAGGTAAAGTCGGCAACAAAGTTGTAGTGCCCACAAGATGAATAGAGGTCCCTGATTGGCCCACAAAGCGGAAAAAGCGCTGATTGGTCTACAAAGCAGATAAAGAGCTGTGATTGGCCAGCCAGAATTCTGCTAGGGCTGAGGAGGTTCCAATCCTAGACCACAAAATCCTAACTTAAACTATCTTGGACCAAAAACATGGCAGCATGCCCCAGAACAGCGCTCTGCCCTCTGTTGTCCTGGAGGGGAACTGAGCTCCCTCCCCAGCATAGGCGGAGATCCCAGGGGGGACGGGGGGGGACGCGTCCCCCCCCCTCACACAAAGTTGTCGTCCCCCCCACAAAAGTTATTGTAAGCACATAAATGCTATCAGTAAACCTGTATTGTCTTCTAAAACCACAATGTAAAAGTTAGTCTGCAAATACAAAACAATGTGTTTTTAATTGTTGAGAAATTATAGTCCCCCCCCCCCCCCCCCCCAATTCCTCAAGTTGGTAGGGTCGGTCCACACGTGCTGTTTCCAATGGGCGGGGCTGCCGGCTTTGCCCCGCTCACAGCAGCCCGCAGGCTCACAGGGAGCAGGAATCAAAAAGCCAGCAGTTTCCAGCAGTAAGTTTGTTCTACAAACTTAAATATGTATGTCAAATGTGGTCATAAATGTCAAACATGGACACAGATTATCTTTAGATTTTGATCACCGGTCGGAGATCCCTTTTTGACAGACCACCACAGTAAAAAAAAGTTGTCACTTCATGTTCTCTGGTCATTCCAGGATTATTCCGCTATTATTATTCCATTCACTAAGGTGATCAAAAGTTCCTTTTTCCGGACACGTACGCTTTCACGGTCTTCCCTGGAATCTGCGGAGCATTTATAGATCGATGAAAATGTCCGCGTTTCATCCTATTTAGCAGATGAACATGGTAGAATCAAAACTAACTGTTCCGATGTATGGAAAACCACAGAGTTTGACCGCTCTTATCCCGTCTTCACCAGGCTCTGCAGCTGTTTACAATATGTCAAAGTGCAGGTGCACCGTGCAGCTTAGGGATGAACTGGTTGCAGCAAATGTGTGGTGGAGGCACGTTGCTCAAAGCTCTCAGTGTAAAACATAGAACCAAAGATCCCGTTGGCCACACAGACCCAAAAACACTATGAAAACTGAGAAAAGTGAGAGATCGATTAAACTGAAAGATAAACTATAGAGTGTGTATATGTTTAGTGTATTTGTAAATTAAATGTTTTTAATTTTTATTATTAAAATGAAACAAATATTTCAAGAATATATTTTTAGATTTTGTGTATCTTTTCATTCAGTAGGACTTAGATAAAGTGATTAAATATTACAGTTATTCTCTAATAGCCTACATACATTTCTATGATTTATTAAAGAGATTTCAGTCATTTTGATACTTGACTTGTGAAAGCTGATTTGAAGTTTGTTATTTTTTCTAGCCATATTTAGAAGGAAATTTTTAAATATATTAAAATCAATATGGAACTATTTGGATTTTAGTAGCTTTCATGTTATGTGATTTAATAAAATTTTAATTTGACATTTATGTTCTCTGTCTTTGTTGTGAAAAAGTTAGATATGTTTTAGTACTTAAAATTAATGCTTTGCATCCGTCCACACGTGTAGCTGTTGGTCAGCTCATAGCCGTGTCATCTCAGGACATGTTGCTTCAACTATTAACGATCTACTTTTAAATCTTTATTCTGAACTGCTTATTCCATTTTAGGCCACAGTCTTGTTATTGAAATGAAATCAAAAAGAAAGGATGCTTATGGAGATGTACAAAACTGGCAAGATATTATTGTCGATCAATATCCTCCAGCTCCGTTCTAATGACAATATCCCATCTGTGTGTGTTGCTGTCCAACTGTCAGCAGAGCAGGTCAGTTGAAATGGCAGAGAAACGAAAAACATCAGCAGACATCAGGTCGTTTTTTAATGCTCCAGAACGTCAAGTAAGTAGAAACTTGCATTTTGATAAAGACATCTATAAGAAAGAAATGAAATGCCTATGAAATTGTTTCTAAATGGTTTCATTTGGCAAAGTCCAGTCACTTGAGGACAGGCAGCCAGAGCCTGTCAGACACAGGCACAGAGTCTCAGGTCAGTCTCTTATAAGGACATACAGTGTTGTATGTAGAGAGCATTTTTTCATGTCCCCCCCAAAAACTTACTCTCTGAAGTTTTACTGTTTATTGTCGTCGTCGTCGTCGCCCCCCCCCCCCCCCCCCCCCCCAAAATTGAAATGGGATTTCCGCCCTTGCTCCCCAGGAGACGAGCAACAGTCACATAAGTATGAACCAGACTTTAAACGCACAAAAAGCAACAGAACAGATGCATTGTGAGATAAGGCTGGCTCAGAGAGACATGGGACTCGTGAGGGGGGCAAGTCAGAGGAATGTGTGATCTAGTTGTTGTGGAGGTGCAGGGACTCGTCAGCCTGATCCAAACTGGAATGGGTAAGGTTGGGATCAAATGACCAGCACGCGCTTGAGGAGAGACTGAACAGTTTACCTCAGATAAATCAGTTGCTCCACTGTTTATTATTATTATTACTATTATTATTATTATTATTATTATTATTATTATTATTATTATTAGGAAGTGAAGTAGCCACATGGGGCTACTTTCACTCACGACCTACCCTGCAGGCAGAGAACCAGCGTCCAGGCTATCCACAAGTCTGAGTTGGGAAACTTGACCATGGCTGCTGAACGTGCTGAGGCTCAGACCATAGAGGCGTGCGTCCGCTCTGCTCGCGGAGTCGTTCCAAAAGTATCCGCTCCCGGCGCGCACTCTCAGCACTAGCAGGACTGCTCCAACGTGATGGGAAAGTTAACGCAGGACATGCTATCTCGCTTCTCGCTCCTTTGGTTTGGAAGCGGTCTGTGTCTCCAAGAACATTCACTCTCCGCTCAGCTTCACGCGCACTCTTGACAGGGATCACGTGCACCTGCCGGAGCTGAAGAACGTGCTTGCTGCGAGCAAAGCCCGAAGAGCTCTGACGTCCGCGCGCTCAGCCTCTCCGGCGCTTCTCGTTGCGCTCCGTGGGAGATTTCTGCTCCTGCTGAGCGGAACCTCCGAGGGAGAGAGCAGCGGCACGGCCACTTCCGGTGTAGAGCCACAAAATAAAACTAAATGTAGACAATTCCGTGTGAAGAAAAGGGTTTCTGGCAGGGAATCGTTCAGTTAGGGCTCGCTGCGTTCACAGTTGTCCAAAGTGACCGTAAACGTGAACGCAGCCTCCGGAAAGACCGGAAAAAAACGGGCGCACGTGCGGACTCGGTGGGTATTTTATTACGTAAGCAGTAGTCCACCGGAAAACGTAGCACGGTGAGTGTGTGTGGTTTGACACACCGCGAACTGACTGAGGCGAGTGAGCTCGAGCCCGATTGTTGCTGGGAGACCGCTGACGCTGGACAGCAGGGAGACGCGCGTGCCCTCCTGCGGCGCGTGTGCGGAACAATAGAATAGATTACAGGTGTCTTCGCCGCACATGAGCTAGGCTACTACAGATAACCGTGAAAAATATCAGTTTTTTCAATTCATATGTGCTGTAAAGGAGGTTTTTAAGGGATATGAAACTTTTCCATATTTGACACCACGTTCCTGAGCCAGGGTAGGCTACTGGGTTCATGAAATGCCTCTGTGGCCAGAATGCTGCACTTACACTTCTGTCAGTGTGCTCCAGGGCAGCTGTGGCTACATTGTAGCTCATCCCCACCAGTGTGTGAATGTGTGTGTGAATGGGTGAATGACTGATTGTGTTGTAAAGCGCCTTGGGGGGTTCCAGGACTCTAGAAGGCGCTATATCAAATACAGGCCATTTACCATTTTACCATTTACAACTTCAGAGGAGCCGGTGCGGTCTGTGAGCTGGCACTGCAGGCTGCTTCCAGCACGTTTTAGATCATGAACATGGCTGATTTGTGTGATTTGGTGACGAATCCCTGCTGTGGCACTAAGGCTGGGGAGATGAAGGTGATAAACAGTGAGGAGAGAAGTGTCCTCCCCCAGAAAAATGTGAATAATCACATGTAACTTCCTGCATTTTAACAGAATGTTAAATTATAATTAGGCGTGTATGATTGCTTTAAGAAATTAGCTTTAAAGAGCAAGTCACCCCCTACCAGAGTCTAACTTCACACTCACGTCATGTTTGAAAAATGCAACAAATGCTGTTGCCTAGCAGACCGAGAGGGCGGAGCTGCTAACAAATACACACACACACTCAGGCTGTGTCTCAATTCAGGGTCTGCATCCTTCGAAGGACCCAGCCTACTCGCCCGACGTGGGCTGGGTCCTCCGTCGGCCAGGTAGACCGGATGTTAACGGCTGTGAATTTGGACAGGCCTAGCCTTCATGAATTCCCGCCTCTCCCTCGGCGAACGTTCCGTCACCTAGCAACCGTGGAACCGCTGAGAAGAAGGGAGAAGGAACTTCAAATGATGGAGCTCGAAGTTTTGTTGAGCTTTTTAATAATTTCCTTGGTTCTGGAGGAGTTAGAAGAAATGTATCACCGGCGAAGGCATTTTCTATTGCTCAGGCCGAGATGCAACAATGAACAGGTAAAGTAATTTCTATTAAGTAGGCTTTACCTATCGGCTATACCTAGTTTAATGGATAGTTTTAGCAACTTTTTACAGGTTGTAACCAGACTCCGTATTAAATTCAAAACTTATACTCAAATATAAACTACAACTTCAAATCTTTTATACTTACTCAACTAAAAAAGCTCCCCAGCAAGAGAGTAAGAAGAAAAAAATGTGAAAATGGCTTAAATAAAATAAAAATAATAATTAAAAAATATGGATATCATTAAATAACAAATAACTGTTAGCAGAAAGAGCACATTACATGGAACCATCAATTACCTGTAGAGGGACATCTAGTGGACAAAAATAAGAACTTGTTATGTGACTTACAAAACTTAATTACAGAAAATTGATCTTTTGGCCTTCATTGCGTACATTCTTCAAAAGTTAAGTTTTTAGAAATTAGAAAGAATCGTATAAAATGCACAATATTATCACATTTACATTGAGAATAATGTTTTGTTTTATAAAAACTTGAAATTACAGCATTGAAATAAAACTTTATTTTTTCTGTATTTCTCTTTAACCAGACTAGACCCAGATACTGCAGGATTAACCTGAGTGTCCCAGTCCTGGACCGTTTCTTCAACCAGCAAGATCCGAGACCAGACTTTTGTTTGAGCCGGGAGTCCCTTTCAGTGCTGCTGAATCTGCTGAACCAAGATCGGCGTCATGATTGGGGTGCCACAATTGAAACCCTGGTGTTTCTTTTCTGGTTGGCAAGCGAAGCATCT